ATGCAATATAATGGGGACTTTACGATCCCACGGCGCGATAACGTCAAAACAGCATAAGGTTTAGAAGACATTTCACTTTTTGGTACATTTTTTTGCCGTTTTTACACGACCACGACTAGCCTCCCCCGCGGAGGCGTTTTTAGGGGAGCTAGTATTTATTCCCTCACCAAAGGGAAGAGCTCCCCTAAAAACCCTGCGGGGGAGGCTAGACTACGTCGTGACATTGCCTAATTTTATACATTTTATAGAGGACGTAAACAAGCGACTACGAAATTTTATTTCTGTTTCTGAACTTGGATAGGGATCCTAGAAATTCAACTCCAGGGGGGTTCCGCTTACTTTTGATTAAGTAAGTGGGCAAGAATAATCGCGCCGTGAAAGGCTGGAGGAACGTACAGTCACTTTTAAGCGACGTTGTCGCTGCCATTGCGTTGTCGAATTGTTTAAAGTGCCAAATTATTTGACCGGACGCTAGAATAGGCTCGATTACCAGCCGCTGTTCGGGAAAATGAGCCCGCACTCATCCCCCGAAAGAGCGGCTGGACGCGTGCGTTTTCCTTTGTTAGTTTAAGCCAATCATGTTACCGCCTGCAGATTTTCGTCTGGCAAAGATTGTCGCAGAAATTATCACATCAAAACAAAAAGTCCTTCCTGTCCTTCCAAGATCCATCGCATGGCGAAGCGATTTCGACGACGCGGAGACACCAGGCGAAATTCTAGAGTCCGAAGGAACACAACGTTTTGTTCGATTGTTTGTTGTGAATGATTGTGGTTGGAGAAATTTTGCATCTTCAAGGATCTTTTCAAGACGCTTTAGGTGTCGATAACTGCGTTCGTTAGATGTAACCGTCGATGTTTATATTTGACAGAGGAACATTCAATACGATGGAAATTCTGTCTGGTAAATCAGAAACTTTTCCATTTAATTTGTTCCGCTTCCGAGAATCAGTCAGTTGGGACCCACAGAAGACGAAATCCAATATTCGAAGATCAGAGAAAATTAACTACATGTCGCCCTGTACAGAAATGTACCGAAGAATCTTTTTCACAATGTATGGAAATGTACCGAAAACTATTTCGAAAGTCATTTGGGTGGGTAAGGGAGAGCTTGATGCAATTTTGAGCCAAATAAATAAGAAACTTGAAGACCGGTTTCACTTCCAGTGACATCGGAGACGCCTAAATTATCAATTTTTCAATTACGTCACAGACAAGGTCAACGGGTCACGCGTCCAGCCGTCTCTTTTCGGGGAGGATCAAAGACCGGACCCGGGAGACGGCGGAAATCGAGCCTAACGCTAGAAGTGAAGGAAGATTGCTTCTTGCCGTGTTCTCCTCTCTAATAGCAATGGATGTTTAAAACAATGATCATAAAAAATTTCCGGATGCTGTATGTTATGTTACCAATTGTTGCGACTTGTCCTAGTAGTATCAATACTTCGTTCTATTAATTGTTTACCTTCGTCTTCGTTATGAACTAGGATGACTCACGCTTTAACGTCAGCTAAAGGTTAAACGACCCATCCCTTGCACAGATCCCCAAGAACCAAGAAAATAAGAGAGAACAACCTATGACCAACTCCCTCTCTGCCCTGGCCCTTCCACCCTGTATTTTCTGACCAGTCCCTAGAGGTGTGTATGGTGCATGGACAAGACTCTTTTTCTCCTACATACACGTGCATCCACACACATGACACAGCTAGCTGGTGAATTGCTTTGAATGGTGAGTTACCAAAAAAACCCGTTATTTGCCTGTTCAACTTCTGACTGTTCTATCAAGGATACTAGACTGTACTAAACGCTGAATGGAAACTTCGTCTTAATTTTTCGTAACAAAAGTAATATAAAACCCTCACTAATGGTTTTTATTGAAAAATCGGGATTCCACTGCAGGAAACAAGGGAGAAAATGGGAAGTAAGGGAGGATAGAGAAAAGAACAAAACAAAAAAAAGGGTAGAGGGAAGAAAAACAGGTAGAAAAGAAGGAAATTATATTAGAATGCAAATCCAATAAAAACACCAACTGGACAGAGCGAAATCCGGACCGTATTAGAGAGGTGTACGTCAAAGAGGTCACTACGATGACGTCACTCTTATGACTCCACTTACAGTTTTAAGTGTTCAGTATCGATTCAGTAGCTAAAACCAGGCTCACACTCGTGTTTAACCTGCATTTTAATTTATTAATTCACAGTACAAAGACACCGCCTTTCAGTAGCACACAACATTGTACATATCAGCTACAAAGCACATAAGTACACTCGTAGACAAATCACTGATTTAAAACGAAACGAGCTACAGCGATGCTGCATGTAAAGAGCTGTAACGTAATGGACAATTCTGAAAACGTCTTTGGCTATTTTGCAAGTGCAGTAAACAGCAGCTAGAGTACAAAATGTAATAGAAAAGATCCTCATGCTATCTTAGAACAGGAGAATCTGTTTCTTTGCCTGCCTGCTCAAGAACTAACATATTTGGAAATTTTTGCACTATCAAATACCAGAATCACGTTTAAAATAGCGAAATGTGATATGTCTTAACATTAACAGTTATATTTACGTGTCATAATTCCGAGGTATTTCTATGTGATTAATGAGTCGCCTTGTAATTCAGTTTATGCTGCAAAAAGGTTGAATAAGCGATCATTATTATTATTATTATTATCTGCAGGCCCGTAGCAAGCATAAAATGAGAGTGGGGGGGCTGAGCGAGTGGCCCACATTAACTCCCGCTCCCGGGTTCGGTCCCTCGGTTAAAGCATACTTCTTGGTACATGTCAGATCACTACATTTGTCTACAATACCTTTTGTTCTTGTCTATAATTTTCCGTTTCTGTTGACTTTGATGAAATAGAGAACTTGTTTGGGATATCGTTCGCGGAAAATTTGCCAAGCAATTGCTTTCGGGTTGTTCTTTGATTCGGATTGCTTCTTCAACCACACCAGGCTCTGTGTCACTAGTGCATGGTTTTACTTACGATAAAAGTTTTCCCTGCTTATTTTCGACTTGTTTGGATTTCTTTTTCGGCGGCTGTTGCGAAGACATTGTAAGACTTTCAATATAAACGCGCAAAAACCTAAGTTTTACTCTAGTACAGTAGTATATTTTACACTGGCGGACCTCTTAGGAAACCAATAAAGCTCAAGAGAGGAGAGAGTCCGTATTATAGAGGTTTTTTTTTATGAAGAAAATATATGAGAATTTTGTCGGGACAGTTGAAAACTGTCCGTAATGGAGAGTTGTCCGTACCGAGAGCTTCGACTGTACTCCTGAGACTAATTTTTGTAAAGCATCGCCACTACTTGCTCTCATCCCCTTCCCCAACTTGAGATCAGGCCCTGAATTTTAGCAGCTTCCATACATTCTCTCTTTAATAATCTTTATACAGTGCCCGGGTACAGTGGAACCTTGATATAACGAAGGGCCAAGGGACTAGTCTCCCAAGGGACTGGCAAAATTTGTTCGCTATACCGAGGCTTCGTTATATCGAGGTTCTTTTTCATATATTTTACTATTTTAATCGTTCGTTATACCGAGACTGTGTTATGTGACACCCTTTATATATAGAGGTTCGTTGTGTACGTAGAACCGCCTCGTCCCCACTCCCTTTTTTGGAACACGCTCCGCCGCTAAAACTTTAATCTCGCACCCACACAATACCGCCAGCTACGCTACGCAAGCAAACGCAAGCTATGTTAAGCTATGTACGTAGTTGCCTTTCCCGCCAGCAAGACCAGGCGAAGTTGCCCCTTCCCAGTCCCCCACTACATACGCGTCAGTTAACGCGTCAGTCACATGGCGATTCACGTCTAGGACAAGGAGCGAACCAACCGAGGGGCGCGCGATGGTAGGTTTTGGTGTAGTTTTGTTATTCGCTTTTACGGACTTTTTTGCCGTTAAGTAGAATCGAGGATATCAAGTTTTAGAAGTTGCATTTGTAGGATTTTTACCGTAAAATTTTTGCTGAGAAAAACAACAGAAGAACTGTCAGCTGGTCGGTCTTTTCAATGCAGTGTCTTTCGCTGAGTCTTATATTATCATGCATATCGATCTCCCTACAAGATCACAGTTTATGTAAACAACATCTACGCAAGGCTTTATTAGTTTGTTTGTGCCCAATAATTCCATTTGTTGCTATTCTTCTCATCATTAAAGCGTTTTTAATTTCCCTGCAGATGCAACGAATCGACCGTCGACGAAACAAGAGTCCAACATGCCGGCCGCTCCAAAGGTACAAGAAGTTGTTGTTTATACAACCTTAACAAAGGTTAATTAAAGGAGCTGTGTCACGACGTTCAGCCAAATTAGCAAATTACAAAATGCCTGTTAACTTAAGAGAAACATAAAAATAACCGCTTAAAACTTTAAAGGAAGGTGAAAATAACATAACAGAAACAACAGATGCCTCGGATGGGCAAAACTGAAGAAGATTGAAACGGATTGAAATTAGGATTTTTGAAAACTGTTCAGCCTAACAGTTTTTCAAAGTTGATCCCTGCTGCTTGCCACCTTAAAAATAATGCTCAGGAGACATATTACATTTTCTTTGCTTACTTTAAATTTCATACCGAGTGAGGGCGAGTAATTTGCAAAATTAAATAAAATGAACTGGACTGCCGTGACACAGCCCCTTTAATTGGTACAATGGACGAAAGAGGTAAATGTTTTTTTCACTTACTGACAGCTTTTTTCAAAATATTCTTTAATAGATTAGCCTGGTTTAAGATCGTATTATGTACCTATTAATGCAAATCCCAAGAGGTGAAGGGGATGTGGGTAAGGGGGGGGGTATGGCAAATGTCAGCAAGGGGTGGGGATTTGGCAGTTCTTAAAATTTTTTTTACATCATCATCTGTATTTAAAAACACGGTAAATACATCAGGCATTACCAATTTAATATAAAGCTACAACTTAATACGAAACTATGTATACAGATTAATCTTCTATAATTTAAAATATTGCTAACTGTTAAAGAAAAGTAAACTAAATTAAAGCCTGTTTTACATGAATGCCGTGTCGGAATTAATTAAGAATTGTTGGAAATTAGTCAGAGATGTTGCTTGCCTAGCAGCTGAGGGTAGACTGTTCCAGAGGACTGCTCCACTATAGGCAAAGCTATTTTTGTAATGGTCAGTACGTGGCAATGGTATTGCAAGCTTATTATCAGAATCGCACAAATTGTAAGAAGTAATCACATCACTCTACTGAATGAATTTCAAGCACAAGTAATTCGGTGCGAGGCCGTTTAAGGACTTATAGACCATCTCAGCCTTTAGTTTTTGACGTCGAGTTTCTAAATTGTCCCAGCCTAATTCTTTAAATAGTTGGTTGACATCAGCAACATAACTAGAATTGGTAAGGACGCGGACAGCACGATTTTGAAGTCTCCGTAATTTGTCAGATAATGTTTTGGCACAGTTACCCCAAACAACGTTACAGTAGTCAAAGTGTGATTGAACTAACCCATGATAGATATTATGTAGAGTTGCAGGAGGAACACAGTGACTTTTCGTTTCATAGATCCAATACCAGAAGAGATTTTTTTGGATATAGCATTGATATGATTACTCCATGTTAGATTTTCACCAATTAATACATAAAGAGACTTGGTAAAATTGACTCTGTTTAACTGTGTACCATTAATTTCTAAGTCTGGGATAACGGATAGACTATTCAATTTTTGTCTTGATCCGATTAACATAAATTCAGTTTTTGTCCTATTGAGAGTCAATTTATTGGCAATGAGCCAATTGCTTATATTTAACAAGTCCTGATTTAAAGAAGCCTCAAGGGAGCAGATGTCATTGTCAGCATATGTAAGGTGAGTATCATCCGCATACATTTGATAAACAATAAATTAGGTAAGTCATTAATGTATAAGAGAAACAGCAAAAGCCCCAGTATTGTCACCTGGGGAATCCCGCAAGTTAAAGTGCAGCTTTTAGAAAGGACCCCATTGACAGCACATTTTTGCGTACGATTTTCTAAGTAAGAAGAAAGCAATTCCTAGGCAATTTCTTTGATTCCATATGAATATAGTTTGGATAGTAGAATAGAGTGATTGACTGTGTCAAATGCCTTTTTTAGATCTAAAGAGACAACAGCGTTAACATAGCCATGATCTTTGTTAAAGGCCCAATTATCAGTGGCTTTGAGCAAAGCGGTTACAGTTGAGTGAAAGGATCGAAAACCAGACTGATATTTTGACAAAATATTATTTTCGGTTAAATAGGAAGAAAGCTGATTATCAACTACTCTCTCGAAAACTTTTGCTATTGCTGAGATCACAGAAATTGGGCGATAATTGTTCATATCACTTCTATTGTCCTGCTTGAATTTCGGTGGAACTTTGGCCTCTTTCCAGTCATCAGGGAATGTGTCGGTAGTTAAACAGCAATTTAAAATAATTGAGATATGGCGAAATAAGGTCAGCACATTCACGAATAAGCCGACTTGATAGCTTATTGAGACCAGCCCCTCTAGACTTATTGAGTTTATTCAGTAGCTTTAAAACCTGTCCACTATCAGCAGGGTGGAATTCGAATCTATTGTTAATGCCTTTGACATATTCCCGATGACAGTGGTCATCGTTATTAGATAATGGGATGTCATTAGCAAGTTTAGGTCCTATATGAGAAATGATCATTGAAAGCATTCGACAAGTCGGATGATTCAGATATAGAAGTACCATTTAGATTTATTTCTCTTATCAATAAATTAACGGCCTTAAGAGATGTAAGATCGTGGATGATTTGCCACGTTTTACTCGGGTCGCCATTAGTTTCAGTAAACTTATTATTGTAAAATAATTCTTTAGCAGCTTTAATTTCAGTATTAACTTTGTTACGCATTCTTTTGAAATTGGCCGAATCGTGCAGATCATTCAACTTGATTGCTTTGATCTTTAATGTGCCACGATTATGCACGCGTTCTTTCAAACCAGCAGTAATCCATGGAGAATTTTTAGATCTAACGCGCTTAATGCAAATCGGAGCATGTTTGTCAACAATTTGTAAAAATTTGGTTTTATACTGTGTCCACATTTGGTTGGGATCAAGAGCTGGAGCCAAAAATTCCCAGTGCTCATTGCAGATATCGTTACGAAATTTGGCACGATTGAAAGTTTTAAAGTTTCTGTATGTTATTGAAGTCTGACCCTTTCGGAAGTTAATGGAAAGTTTACGAAACGCATAAATAAGACTGTAATCACTAATGCTGATATGGGCATCTCCGGAGCAGACTACCCTCTTAGGACAATTTATAAATTAAATCAATCGGAGATGATTTATCTGTTATCCGAGTAGGCTCAGAAATGAGTTGGTGGAGGCCATAAATATCAGCAATGTTTATTAGTTGACGGACATTGTTGTCGTAATTGGTTGAGGCCATATCGGCATTCATATCGCCAAGTAGGAAAAATTCAAGATTTGTTAGATCAAGTGTCGCAATAAGATTTTCAAAATGTGAGAATAGCCCTTTTGGAGAGTTAGGAGGCCTATACCTAATTGACAGCAATAAGAGGTTTAGAGTTCGGCTTGCGAATTTCGATACACAGGTTTCGAAGCTCGTCAATATTGAGATCAGTCCGCACAGAGAAATTTATTGTCGATTTAATATAAAAGCATATACCTCTGCCACCATTGCTAAGCCTATCTCTCTGAATTAATTTGTAGCTACAGATATAAAAATCAGAGTTATTATTAAACACGTCTAGTTTAGTTTCCTGAATAGCGAGAACATCTAGACACTTATAGGCAAGCAAAATTCTAATTTCATCAATATGCATTGAGAGTTTGTGAACATTTAGCAAAGCTAACGTAAATCCTCATTTTGACGGATTGTGATTGTAAATAATGGATCTCTGCTGATCCAAAATTGATTGAATCGATTTGCAATTATTGTCGTTATTGTTATGAGATTCATAACATTGAAGACGATCGGCATTCGAGGAAACAGTTCAATGAAGATTAGCTTCGTTGGCTGCTAAACATGATGCAAAGTTTTTATATAATAGTGCGTTACTTTGTTTAGTTAAATGTAAACCACCTCTGTTTATGACTTTCTCCGTGATGTTGGAGTGGCGAACCAAAGACCATTGATGCTGCTTGGAATAATTAATGAGGAGCTTGTTAACAGATTTTACTGATTCTTTGTCTTTGCACGTAGTCAACTCAGATAATACAACCTCCGCTCCACAGGTAGATTGAATGGTTTTGGCAACATCCACAATAGCGTTTGCAATATCATCTGGTATCAAATTCCCCAGGGTGAGAGACTAACATTATTCAAAAGTGTCAAAATAGCCCCACCTTGGGGCAAAAAACGTCTAAACAAACAATACTATAATATTAGCAGTAACCAAAGGTTAAGAAGTGTGGGCAAATGTGTACGTTTATGTTGAAGGTGCAATTGATGTTGAGAACTGCTTTCATAATCGTCTATGTGAATCAGAGAAAGCCCTTTTAGTTCCAGTGTCAACAAAAGGAAGCATGGCGGATCATGAGTGTGGAAACTGAATAATAATTTGAACAATGCATTCATATTGATTTACGATTTTATTTACAGTGGCTTAGGTTCAATTAGCCGGCAACTGTTGAGAAGAGAGAAGAGACGGCTGAATTTACAAGCAAAGGTACAATGAAAACAGCAGTGCATCACATAAACAATGTTCATCGTGGAAAGTATACAGTCATTACTACTTGAAGTCTTATTATTCAATTGGATATTCAATTGGTGTTTATTGACCAAAGGTCGTTGAAATGTGATAGAAAATCATGAAAAATGTTAGTGAAGCTTTCAGGTGACAAGCAGCGTAACATGCTTGGAAATGTTTAGAAATATAAAAATGCACTGTAGTGTAACTTGAATTAACTTAGTTAGATGGATTCATAGACTTTGCTATCACTCGCATCTTACCAGGGACCCGTCCTGCACTAAGCTGAGATTAGGCTCTACAGTACTTTCATTTTCCTTGGTAAATAGATTTGCTGCTGGCAAGGCGAATCAAAAAGTCTTTCAATTAGTAGGTTATGTGTATACCTGAATTTAATACGTTAGAATCAAACAAATATTGTTGCATCAATTGCATTTCCATTCACGTGAGTACTGTGACATCAGACGGACGGATTTTGGAAAAACTGCACTACACAGTTTATAAAGTGCCGTTCTTGTAGGATTTTAAATCCCATGGAAAACAAGTTTTTGGTTCTATGCCCAGAGATCATGGGAAAGGATCGGTAACAACTTTTTGGTTCTGTGAAAATTCATGGAACCCATTTTTAATTCTTTTAACCCTTTCACTACTACTTGCTAATGGCCCCCAACCCCCCACCTTCCTGAACAATTATCAAGGATCTAAGATGGCTGTGATTCTTAATCAAAACATGCATGCTCAGTAGATTTCACAGCAGTGTTTCACACAATAAATTGCACAGACATTTAGGCAAGAAGTCATTTTATTTGTCTTAAGGTATTTGCACAGGCAAAAATTCATGTTTTCAGCCCGTTTATAGATTGTACCACCTAATATTGAAAAAGTAATGTTTTATCTCAATATTCCTGCAAATTTAAATTCTATGCTTTGTCAAAGTTTTGCATTTTTACCCGGAAGTCACTTCTACAGACCGAGAAAGAGGCTGGGTCGGTTACTAGGAAAAAGTTGAGTATGCATAATTTTAGGCAGTGGTTTCCCTCTCTGCTCCATGTTTAAAGATCAAGATCGATCAAGATGGCGGCCAGGGAAGCAGCATTCGAGAATTTTAAAGCCGAATTTGTTCGCAACGGGTAAGTTATGTGTGTTTTACTCGAGTTTATTAATTATTTCATTATTCAGATGGAAAAATCTTTATTTCTACAGATTCCCTGTACCCAATGGCCTAATAAGGCTTTTAGAAAATTTCCAAATCAAGCCCACGGAAAGTGCGGAGAAATGCCGTGCCAGGCTTTACAAGTATTAATTTTGTGGTGTCTGTTATGGGTAAGTTGGAAAATTACAAGCATGAAGTTCGTCACTGCCATTTTATTTCCCTTGAAGTAAACCATTATTTTATTTTGTTTATTAATAGTGTGTTTTCTGAACTCTAAGAGAATGCGGTCGAGTCGGCTATCATTGCAAAACAGTAGCATGTGTGTTTTGATTATGACTGCAGTTTTCCCAAAACTGATCCTCCTTTATGCAAGAAATAGTTCCTCTCAGACTTTTCTCCCTGGTAGAAGGGTGTGAGCACAACAAAGTTTGCAAGCTGCCTCCTGTATCTCTGTCTAAAATGAAATGTTTCTGAAAAGCTTTTTCAGTGAGGATATATCTGTAAAAGTGACATGTTATGTTTACCTGATTTTAGCATGGAAGTGGAAAGACCCTTGGGGCATCGGTTGGATGCCAACCAACGTATGTGTTTCATTCCACCCTGAAGAGAGTGGTTAGGGAGATTATTCCTGGCAACCTGGTCGAATGGCCAGACCCAACCCATTTAGGGGTAAGTTAAAATGGAGACCTTGAGGGTGGGTGCTTAAAATGTTTTCAATATTTTCAGCAAGTGATAATATTTGAGATAATGACAAATTAAACAATAACAAGTTTTTAGTTTTGCTATTATTATTTTGGCTTTCAGAGTGGGCCATGGATGTGTGTTGGAGAAAAGCGCTTGTTTGAATAAATATGAGAAAACCTCTGATTCTTACACTCTGCCATTGTAATGTATCTTATTGAGATGTGAATTTTCACAACATCATCCCTCCCCTGCACCACTCAGGTTAACCATATTTATAGCAGATCTCACAAAAGGTTTGGGAGCTCCTAATAATTATTATAATAATGTGGCCATATTATTTGATTGGTAGGTTTATCTGGTCAACATAGGTGACCTTGCTTCTGCAAAGTGGCCTGCAGCGAAGCCCAAAGGAAGACAGTCCAACTAATATAATAATAAGACTTTATTTGAATAGTTTTTTAATGATGAATTGCCCACATCTTTTTATATACATTCCATTGTGACAAAATTTCTGAATCAAAAATACTTATTTACGTCAGGTATTATTTGCAAATTATACAAGAATAAAAACAATAGAAAGTCAAATTATAGGTTGTCAAAGCCAAATTATTTATAATTTCGTCAGATAAAAAGAAAAGCATTTCAAAACATGTACAAGCTTCTGAAAATGTTAATTTTATACCATGCTACATTTGTATCCAGAATGACAATATTTATAAAGTTGTGGTTTCTAAAAAGTTTTGCATTTATGTAATTCCACAATACTTAGAATCATCAAGAGCATTATACACAATATAATTTCTATTTTTACATATGTGTCCCAGATGAATAAAAGTTGCATTTTTGTTTAACAAAACAAGTTCATTTCATGATTGTTGCAGCAGGAAAGTTTGATTTCCTTTGTTGCCATTCGCTTTTGCTATTTGGAATTGTCTTGATAATTAAATATTATTAGAACTTTACCTTACACCACTTATTCCTTTGAACAAGTAAACTGAAATTTTCAATGTAATATAAAGATTTCATCTGCACAAGACCAAGTTTCAGCCCTTATGTATGCCAGGGAACTTTGGCATTTCCATTTTTATGGAGATTTCAGTTTCTCAAGGTCCATAGAAAAGTATTATTTTGTGGTTTCATCAAAGAATTATACTTGCTAGAATTTTAACATTTGCACTCAGTTAAAAATTTGCTGCTTCTCTTTGTTTTGAAAGTTACCACCAACATGCCCTTTTAGTCACTAATGCATGCACCTAGTAAAACAGGCATTTTATTTGGCAAGACTTTACTACATGTATATGACAAATTGACCACAAGATTGATGTTTTACATCCAGACTGGTAACAGGTCTGTTACTTACATTCTCCTGAGAGCCATGTTAACAGTAAGATTCTTTTTTGGCCAAATCAGATGTCTGTACTTGGCTACATTGTAAACAGATGAAAAACATATGGCTATACATTTGGTCAAAAGCAACAATTTGAACAACAAAGGTGACTGACTAAAACGAAAGCAATAATTTCCTACACAACATACTTCCCACAAGCAGTGGTTTCATAACAGGGGAAAAGACACTAAAGCTTGGGCAATATTATAATCATATATTCAAACATTATCTTTACCTAAATTAATTGGTGCCTACTTCGTCTGGTCTGTGCTCAAGTCGCAATAAATAGTGTCAGATAGTTGCTAACACATATTTTGGTTAGCTTTGACACTTATTGAAGCTCTATCCTCTCATACAAGTCTATGACCCAGTGATAATTTGGTCCATGTAGTGCATGACACCATGTCATATTTGCTTGACAGAAGCCAGCATTTGTAGAAGCTATATAGTGCAGTCTGCAAGGCATAAAACAAACAAAAACATAAATGTAACTACTTCATTAACAAAATATTTGGGAAGCATGGTACATGCAAGTAGGTGTGAAAATTAGAAAAAAGTTGGGTAAGATTTCTGTATAACCTCGTACATTTATTACGCATGCAGCAATCTCATACTATTTCACACCACAAGTTTATAAGAAAAGAGTCGAAACATGCATGTCAACACTGAGCAAAGAATAACTAGAGCCCAGCAAACAAATACCTGCATTGAAAAAACAGACAAAAAATAATCAGCAGATCGATACATACCATTGCAATCAGGAGTAGAACAACATGAAGTTTCATTGATCTTATTGACAAAATTTGTTAGCTGAGTCAGGTCTCACAGACAAATAAATGGCACTCTACGTCCACCTTTGCTTTCTTCCTGGCTGCTTGCGAAGGGGAATTATTCTCCTCCTTGTTGCTCCACTTTCTCTTCTTTCCTGAACAACCAGGTTCGTCTGGGGGTGAGTCTTCGATATCTGGCAGCTACTCCGTATCCTCTGAATCTTCAGTCTCCTCACTTGAAGCCAAAGCCTCATGAAAACAACTCCAAATTCCTAGCAGTCAGTGTTTTGGCTACACACTTCTCGGTTCTGTAGACTGTTTTGCCAGGACTAACAAACTTCAGCTGCATTTTGCCATTCTTTTCATCATGTTGTTCTCTCCATTTGGCAGGAAGAGTAAAGCCAGCTCCTTTGCCTCTTTTCTTGGCTGAAGATTTTCCTTTTCTACCAGCGATTTTCTTTTACTCTGCTCTCGAAAGCTTTCTTTTCTTCTTCTTGGATGCCATGTTTCCACATGTAAAATCTACTGTGCACGTCCTCTCTACCGGAAGTTCACCACACCTAGCAACGCCTTGACAAATCTTGACCCAGGGGGATATAGAGGAGTAAATTTCCATAATTTAGCATTCTATGGGCATTTGAGACAGTGGTAATTGTTCAAAATGGCGGCTGAAAAGCTTTGGGATGTTCGTGGATCCAAAAACACTTGATTTGAGACGAAAATGGACTAAATAATAGCAAAACAATTGCTATGGGCAACAACCTAGATTTACCCTGACTTATGAGAGTCCCTTTTTTGGCAAAATGGATTGGAATTTGTTTGAGATATTTGGCAAGTCTTCAAAGGACATGTTGTAGAACTAATTTTGTGTTTGACCGAGGTAAGACGATCGTCCGCTGCCAAGATATTGAAGTCAAAATGGGATCAAATTACAAAATCTTGAAAATGCTCAGTAAAAGGTGAAATAATTAAAATTAACTAATAGTTAAACACAGTTTTATTCCTTTTTGTGTCTATAATCAAGTTCTATTTTCACATTTGTAAATATTTACGAATTTGTCCTGAAATATAGAAATTTTAATTTTTAAGCTTCCCTCAGGGGGTAATTAAATTAACACCTTTGAAGGCGGAAGCTTCACTCTCACTGTTTTTTTTTCAATTCCTTAGGACTCAAAGTACCATATCAATGATCACTTAAAAAGACATCAATTTTTTAGAGATAAAATCGCAAGTAACGAGAAAAATTCAAATTTGCTGCCATTTGCAGCACCTATGTCAAACTTTGAATGAGAATTTATTTGTAATCCATTGCAATATAGCTTCCTTTTTTTACAGCAAAACAAGGGAAATTGCTAGAATATAACAAATATGCATGTGTTGCCCACAGCAGGGTTATGTTGCCTGAATTTTTTACAACTTGCTGTTTGGTAACATACTGTGCACATGTTCTTGAAAAAAGAAAAAACATCTTTTTGTGACTACTATGTTAGTCCAGATTGAAAGCAGAATGAACAGCAACTAGAGTAACCAAGGCTTCGTGGCCTGTGTGAAATGGGCTCTCCAGAAGTATAACCTTGTCAACCATGATGAACCACAGCTGGGAAGTGGGATCATCAACCTCACCATCATACACTGCTAACCACTTGATGGTTAATGTTTTCACAAAATTATCTGGACTGCCCCATCATGTTAGCATAATGAAGTACAATTTGTAAATGTTTCATCTGGTTGTTGCTTTCTTAAATTTTGATGAGCAAAAAATTGATAGATAGATGTGTTATCAAACACTCTCTTTTAAAACATTTATTTTGACAAAATTATTACTTTCCTCGTTCCACTGTGTTGAGCAAGCCAACGCTTCTTAATTTAACAATAAAAATTTAGGGGATAATGGGTTGACTGGAACTGGAACTGAAGTCATGATTCATAACAATGTATTTTTGGTTCAAGCACTAACCTTGAACTTGATCCAGAATCCTTGAAGCTGGTTTTGCTCCATCCACAACATACTTACACTTGTAGTTGATTAACCTTACCACAGCTGCCCAAGCCTGATATAAGTTTTCACTTGCTTCATGGGAAAATTTGCAAAAAAATGGAAAATGGAAGGCAAGATTATTCAAAATATAATAAAAATCTACCAGTTCTTAATTCGTAAGCAAATAGAGGTTACAACTATCATGGACTTAAAAAGTATCAAAATGGCAAATTATGTTTTACATGTAGCTGTGCAAACCCTCAAGTACTGTCTGGGTATTCCTGGTAGCAAAGCTTGGTCAAAATATAGTAGTAGTAAACCAAGTCATTTTCTATGTTGATCAAGCTTTTTAACATTTTTAACCTTCAGTTCCTAGTATTTACACGTCCTAAAAATCCTGGTGGTGTTTGGCCAGGCCAGTTGTAAAGACAATTATTGTTGCTGTCATTTTTGTTGAACCTACATCTTGCCATCTTGTCTACATCTTAACATTCAGTCCACTCAACCACATGCTATGTTTCTACATGCCATGTTATTAAACTTTAAAGTTATAGTAAATAATCCCTTGGGAACTAATGATTCACAACAATGGGGCCTTCCCAAAATGCCGCATCAAATCTTAGCAACATACTTTTTCTTTTAGATATTATTGTACTGAACTTAAGTAAGTACTTGCATATTTCTCCCATGCTTTATCAACTTCACTGGTTACCAGTACGACATCGTGTTCATTTTAAGATCTTAATTTTAAAATTTAAAGCTATTCATGGACTGGCGCCTAAGTATATCATAGAACTAAGAAACATTAAGCCTAGGTCTATATTTATTATCGTAGATGAAATCAAAGTTTATGGCTACACCCTCCTAAACGGAAAATGCTTGTCACGTTAGGTGACAGATCTTTCTGTGCTCCATATTTATGGAATAGTTTGCCGGATGAATTACGTGATATTCAAGCATTACCTGTTTTTAAATGCAAGCTAAAAACTTATTTATTTTGTGCAGCTTTTACAACGTAACCTGTTTGACATTCACTTTGTTAGTATTACTAATTAAGTTTATTATCATTATTATAAACATTCCATATTATTATTATTAATATACATTGTTAATATTCATGTACATGTAATTAGTTTTAAATATTTGAATTTTATTGTAGTTTTTTTAAGTTGTTAAGCGCTGATGATCAGTGAATGTAAATAGCGCTCTAGAAGTTATTAAATTATTATTATTACTATTATATTGGATCATCAAATATGTTTTTTTTCACACACGTTAAGTCCCAGGCCTTG